ATGGCAGATCTTAACCTAAGACTATATCATTTTATCTTCGCTAGGCCGAGATGACACGGATCAGAGCATGGCAATGTGTTCATGATTCCTCGATTGTCTTGTAAAGAGGGATCATTTCCTCGATGCCATTTGGTTTAGTGCAAAGCCCATTTTCACCCTGTGGGATATGTTGACTCCAAAAATGCTGTCTATTGGACACCGCACTCTATTGTCTCTAGATAGGGAATATGTGCAGTGTATGTGGCTTTAAAAACTCATGGTTTAGCTGGTCCTTGCGCCACTGAACATTTCGAACGAAAAAAATGTGTCGAGTCTAAAGGAGGGAATGTGGAGCACTGCTTCTTGGAATTTCAGAATGAAATCATTATTTTTTTAAAACTCTGTAAAAGAAATTAAATATTGTTTAAATGTCACAGGGATGGAAAATTAATGTCAAATTGAAAATATAGGAAAAGGTCAACTTATCTTTTCATGACTTCTTTTACAAGATTTTAAAACTTTGGTGAACTTTGCGTTTTTGGGAGCTTTTTTCTTTTAGCCGTTTCTGTTTTCAAAACATGTTTCTTCTCCGTGGATTTTATATCAAACAAATTCTTTTTGAATGAATTATGTCTGTTCCAAATTACAGCATTCTACAACAATTTTTGCGTGCGATATTCAGAAAAAAAGTTGTAAAGTTTTTTAGGGATCACCCTGTAGTTAGGCGCTAAATAAGATAAGATAAAACAAGACAAGATAAGATAAGATAAGATAAGATCAGATAAAATCAGATCAGATAAGATCAGATAAAGTTAGACTTAAATGTCCCTGTGTGAAATTTGCCCAATATTATACACAAAAGACATATATGAAACTAAAATTGTGTATTACTTTCATAAAAGAACTTCAATGAGAAGGGAAAAAAATATTAAATGAAAAGAATATAACACGTCACTTCAGATACATCCGTCAAACCGTATGTAGGAATTAATTACACATTTAAAAAAGTTATGCAGATATATTCTTGAAAGGACCCCAACAAACGTAATAAAGAAAACATCTTATCAAAACCTTAACTCTAACCCTGACCTTAGCCCTGCCCCTGCCCCTGCCCCTGCCCCAGCCCCTGACTCTAATCCTGACTCTGACCGTGATCCTAAAACTAGCGTAAACCCTAAACCATAAACCCTAACCTTAACCCTAATTCTAGGGGCTCTCACGTGGTCTAGGGATTACGGTGTTTGTCTCTCATTCAATAGGTCCCTGGTTCGAAACTTTACGGCAAAGGAAAATATTTTC